TGGTTTTATGCTTACTAAGCCCTTACGTTTTTCTTTGTTCTGAGTTTGCTTAGAAGGATTGTTAATTATTTTTGTGGTTGCCCTGAAGTAAATTCTTATCTCCCTCAGTTTGGAACAGTCAATTCTATAAAGACATTATCCTGTCTTCCTCTCCATTTGGAAGTTTTGTAACTAAAACTTTTATTCCCTCTATTTATTTACTGGGAGCTCTGGTAGCATAGTGGCTAAGACACTTGCCTGCTAACCAGACGGCTGGCGGTTCAAACCCACCAGCCACTCCTTGGAAGGAAGGTTGGGCAATCCTACTTCCGTAGTGATACTGCCTCGGAAACCCAAGGAGGGGTCGCTATGAGTCGGGTTTGACTCAACGGCACATAACAACAACAACAACAACATTTATTTACTTTGTTGCTGGTGTCATATACAGATTGACTCCCTTATTTCTCTGTGTACATTTCTTATGAGCTTATTTTGAGAATCTTTTTCTGGTTTGGTTTCTAGGTGATGATGTCAGGTGTTTTGATTTTAATTTGTTGTTCTTTGTTGTGAGTTCTCTATTGGAAGGATTTCCTTTAGCATTTCTTGTAGGGTTGGTCTGGTTTTCACAAATTCCCTTAATTTCTGTTTGTCTGAGAATGTCTTGATTTTACCCTTATATTTGAGGGACAGTTTGGCTGGATATATAATTCTTGGCTGGCAATTCCTTTCCTTCAAGACTTTATATATGCCATTCCACTGCCTTCTTGCATGCTTGTTTTCTGCTGAGAAATCAGTTTTATTGATTGTCCATTGTAGGTGACATTTTGTTTTTCGCGAGCTGCTTTCAAGATTCATTCTTTGTCTTTGGTTTTGGAAAGTTTGATTATTATATGTCTTGGCGACTTTCTCTTGGGATCTGTCCTGTATGGGGTTTGTTGAGCTTGGATGACTATCTTTTCTTCCTTCCTGATATGTGGGAAATTTTGTGTTAGCAAGTCTTCAAAAATTTTCTGTGTTTTTTTTTTTTTTTTTCCCATGAGTTCCAGTTGTGTATTTTTCTTGTTATTTTGTTCTTAAATGATTTTCCTGAATTCTTCCAGGGTACTGTCTGTCTTCTTGCCCTTTCTGTTTGTAGTTTCCTTGAGCTCTTGTGGGGTCCTATATATATATATATACCTTCTGAATTCCTTCTCAGATAGTTCTATTGCTTGTTCTTCCTCTAAGACACATATTTCTTTACTCTGGACTATTGTTTCTGTTATCTTGTCCTGTTTTTTTTGTTTGATTTGAGGTTGTCTGTTGTTTCCTAGACAGTTTGAGGTTGTTGTCTTTAATTGCTAGCTTTGTATTGATTTGTTTTGCCCTAATTTTATGTTTTACTATATCTGGGAGTATGTACCATGTTCTTCAGCTATTAACTCAGCTGACCAGGGTCGCTCTCCAGCTCTTTGTGTGTTGGTGTAATCACTGGTGGGGATGTAGGTACAGGTCTCTGTTCATTGTGAATAGGATTTGGTGCTGGGAGGAACAGGTGTTGTATACCATCTGTTGTTGATGCTGTGGCACAGGAGCTATTGGTGTTACCAGTCTACTGGGTGAGGTGTTCTGTGTAGCAGCTATGGTTGCCTAGTGAAGGTTTTATATGTTCTTCCTATTGAGCAAGGCAGGGGAGAAAAGAAATGAGGGGGGAAAAAACCCAGTAAATAAACGCCAGAAGTGAACCCCAGGATAGAAAGGCAGAAAGAGGAGTTTTCTGTGTTTGGAGCAAGATAATTCAGGCAGCAACCTGGGTCTTTTTGGGGGCTTCTGCTGAAGATGGTGCCCAGCTGTCAATCAAAGTCTTGTGGTTCAAATCTGGGTGTGGTTTCAAAGGAAAGAGCGGACTGAGAAACTGCAAAATCCCTGTGCACAGATTCAATACAAAACACAAAGGGTTTCCAGGAGATGGGCCCAAGCCCACTGCTGTGCACATGCTTTGGGGCTCTGCCTGCTGGGGGGACACTTCTCCTTTTCTCCCACTCCACCCCAGAGTCTGCAGCAGCCCAAGCCAAGGGGTGGGGGATCCCCAGTCCATTTCTCCGTAAGATCTTGGTTTCATCCTTAATGCCCCTGCTCACCTTAAAAAAGTTCCAGTATGGCTGTTCTGAGTCACCATCACCTATGGGGTCTACGGTGTTTCAGCAATGCCCCCCCTTCTCTACCTTTCTTCCTCCTTGACTTCTTTTGTATTTCTAATGATTCTTTTCTCTCTCTGCTGGCTGGGCAGGCCTGCCTGTTTTTCCCAGGTGTTTAACCTGCTCTCTTTCTTTGCTTTCACTGGATCTAATACTTATCTTTTCATTAGTTGCTCATAACTCCAGTATCATCATTTGTATCTGCTTCACCTAGTTGCTGTGAGTCTCATTTGGAAGAGGGAATGATCATGGGGATTATCTGTAGGAGGCCATCTTCCCTTTCCCAGTTTTATCTTTATGATTTGTTATCTTCATTTCAAGGAGCCCTGGTGGCACCATGGGTATGTGCTCAGCTGCTGTCCAAAAGGTGGGCAGCTCTCAAACATAGCAGCTGCTCCACAGGAGAAAAGATTTGGTGATTTGCTCCCATAAAGATTAAACCCACTCCCATTGAGACAATGTTGATTCATAGTGACCCTGTAGATCAGAGTAGAACTGCCCCTTAGGGTTTCTAAGGCTGTAAATCTTTACAGAAATAGACTGCTTCATCTTTCTTCTGCCAAGTGGCTGATGGGTTTGAACTGCTAACTTTTCAGGTAACAGCAGAGCACTTAACCAGTATGCCACCAAGGGTCATTCCCATAAAGATTACAGCTTGGGAAACCCTATGGGTCAGTTCTACTCTGTCATATGGGGTCTCTATTGAGTCAGAATAGATTTTATAGCCCCAAACAACATCCTTATTTCACTATATAGTTTCCCTTTTAACTTTTAGAAAAATCACAAAATAACAATTGTCATTATTCCAATGATTATTAGGTGATAATCATTGATTTCATCTGTAAGTTATTGTCAGGAAGAAGTTCTTTAATTCTGTTACAAGACAGCAATGAATGATTACCCAACTTAGTAGGATCCAGAATGGGCCTGGAGTTCTGTTTTGGTCTGTTTTGTTTTCGATAGTGGTAGAAGCATCTATGTAGGTGGGGGTGATGGTGTTGGTGAGTTGATCGCTTACCATTCAGAAATGGTAATGCATAGTCATTAAGGGCTAAAATGATGCTAATAATTGTGCTAATATATGACTCAAGACCTAAAAGGTACTGTTGAGAGAAATAACTCCCACTGTTCTCACTCGACATGTTATTACTTTATCTTTCAGCTTAGGCTTTTTAAAAATGGGATATAGCAGTACATAGAGATATGGAGGGAATGGGTCAAAAAAGTCTTGATCAGTATTTCTGGAAACAGGATCACAAGCACCTATGATGCTTGTAGAAATGCATATCCTTGGGCCCCACTACATTTTACTGAATTAGAAACTGTTAAAAAGTTTCCAGATGATTCTCTTGCACATTTTGGGTACCTGATGATCATTTGGTCCTGTGATAGCCCCTAGCCATATATGGCTATTGATGCTTGAAATCTGGTAGTCTAAATTAAGATATGCTGATAGTGTAAAATAAACACTGGATTTCAAAGCCCTAGGATGAATAGAAGAGTTTAAAATACCTCATTAATACTTTTTATTTTGACTTAATGGTGAAATGGTAATATTTTGGCTACATGGGATTAAATATACTATTAAAATTCCCTTGCTGCTTTTTACATCTTAATGTGATACTGGAACATTTTGCATATGTAGCTCACATCGTTATCTCCTGGATGATCTCTTCTAGACACTAAGAATATGAATCCATGAACTAGTTGCCAGATAGGAGGGAGCAGCTAGGGACAATCAAAAGACTTAAGGGAAAAGATAGACAAGAGGGTTGTATTAGTCATTTGTCTGCTTTTAATTTTTTTTAATGTTAATAAGTGTTGGTTATGACAAAGGGGATATTCTTAGTGTAGGACATAGCATTGTTAATAATTCTTGGAAAGCAAATCAAAAAAGAATTTGAGCCATGGGCACCTGATTGAATATGAATTGAGAAGCTTAGGGAAAAAAACAACTGGTGTGGAAATGATGTGAAATTTTATTAAAGGTCCAGTGGAATCTTATGAAGGCCCACAAAACTAACATGCTTAATATCACATTTGTGCATTATCAACCCAAGATGAGCATCTTAATTCCTTTAAAGATTTGTATCCTAGAAAGGTCAGTATCTAAAGTGAAAAAGGACTTATTTTTTGTAGAGGGAGCACCAGCTGCCAAACTCCAGAGCATTGTAACATTCTTGATCTAGTGTCCAACAATCTTTGAAGCAAAAATTGCATTAAACTTTTAGGTATTTTATTTAATTGCTTAAATACTTTCTGGAATTCTTTTTAAGTCTAGAAATGTTGACAATTAGGTACATGTACATAAATATGGAAAGAGTGATAGTGATCATTTAATTCAGGTTTTACAATGTTTTCAGCAAAATAGTATTTTCTAAAAAAAGTGTGGTAAAATGGATATTCTGTGAACTTCAGCATATTATAGGTTAAGAAGAGTCCTACAATTTAGAAAATAATATTACTTTATTTACCCCAAAGTTTTGTGAGATTATTTGACCATAGGACTGTTACGTTTTTTTTTTATGAGTATGAATACCTCAGAGAACATGTTATAGGAAACACTTGAGTTTATTTCCTCAAAAGAAAGCTGAAATGTAAAGAGATACGCTCTTATTCTTAGATCATTGTTCTTTCTAGTATATCACTATTGTTTTCCAGATGATGGTATTATTTTAAGTTGTAGATAACATCTTCTAGTTTATATATTTCACTAGTTGATGTTTTCTCCAGTCTGCAACTTATAAATGTATCGGTGGGAACCAAACAGAGCCCTTTCTCTAAGTTCACATAAATATTAAACTGTACTGTAATGTTCTTCTAAAAACCTTAATATTTGTGTTGCAGCCTCAAACTTCGATCTCTCCGTGTTAATGTGGGACAGCTGCTGGCTATGATTGTGCCTGATCTAGATCTTCAGCAAGTAAATTATGATGTTGATGTAGTTGATGAGATTTTAGGACAAGTTGTTGAACAAATGAGTGAAATCAGTAGTACTTAACAGACATTTGATGTGAGACAATAAAAATATTTGCTCAGTTCTTTTCGTTGTACAGCTTTCAAAATGTAAACAATTTTGTTTTATATATATGATAGGTAACAGAAGAATCATAATCTTTGTATTATGCATTCAAAGTGTGTTGAATTCTATGCATTCAAGTGTGGTCACAAATATTGTGGACACATTATCATACTTTTTAAAATAACTTGACAATTGTTGGTATTGAGTGGCTGAGTATCTAACTCAAGATTCTGTTTTGAAATGTAAATATTTGAAATTAATTCTACACATATTTTTTTATTACCCTAGAGGATGTCAGTGTTTTTCACCAAGAGCTTTTCAGGTTGCTCCCAGCCTTTGTGCAGTCTTTTATGGTTCCCCAAAGTGTATTTTTCTCTGAATTGAGGGCTGTGCCATAATACAAATGGAAATGTTACTTTTGATTTTCCTAAGAAAAAGTTTAAACAAGATTTTTTTTAAAAAGTGTCATAGCACTTCTGAAAAGATTAGATGTAAGTGAATTGAGCAGTGTTTCTTTTCTATAAATTCTTATCTCCTAAAATATTTTATTCATGAAAATAAGGAAGCAGAAACTGACTCCAGTTTACTAGGATTTTCGTGTGCTGAGATTGCCAATTATGGTTAAGTACAAAGTGTTTTTATAGAACAAAGACATGATCTTAGTATTAAAAAAAAGTACTCAAAATATTAAATTGTATCATCAAGTTTACTCTGAAGCCCATTTTTGGCTGCATGGTCAGCATAGAGTGGGCACGATAATTGTTTAATATTTCTTCTTGTGAAATTTCCTGTATAGCCTTTTGTAGGATTACTACAGGTTAATGTGAGTTGAGGAAGACAATCTTTCTCAAAAAATACTACATACCTTTTATTATATTATAAATCTCAGTGTTTTATTCTGGTTTTAGAGCAACAAACTGCCCTAGGATTATAGTATTACATGTCACAAAAAATTATGCTTAATTCATCGCATGTTTTCATCCCATGTGCAATTGGAAAGAAATGGCTTTCTATTAAGTATAACTATGTATATATAATTAAAAATCATATTTTCCACAACTGAAATGTGCATTATTTTTTTTTCAAAGTTTTATCATTGTTATTTATTTTTACTTTTATTTCTGAATATTCAATACTGTTCATTTTCTGTATATACTTAATTACATGTCTGTTATATACAATATTAAATTTTTATTGTATATTAAACTTCTGGAAAGAGCAAATAAATCAAGATTGTTTTTATTTGCTTGATAAAATAATTGAAAGTGTATTTTTTGTATGAAGCTGATTTTCTGTCACAATTGTATCTGCCCAAATTTTGAAATATCTCGTAATAAAAATATATGATGCTCAATATTTCAGATAATACTTTAAAGAATTCTATATATTAACTGCAATCTATTTTTTAAAACTGAAAGTATATCCTTTAGACCTTAAATTGAGCTCTTCTCTATATATTATTTATAAGTTCTGTTTGAAGACAGACTATTTCCATTAAGACTAAGGCTTAACTCACCTTTCACAGGAAGAGTATGTGTGTGTGTGTCTGTGTGTGTGTAACTTAATTCTGCATGTAAGAAGAAATTTTCTATGTAGAGCATGTCTCAGATGTGTGAATATTTAAATTTATGTAGTGGCTCTTTCTGGAAGTTGTCCTTTTTTCCCTTTTGGTCAGCTTGTATATTCTTGCAAAAAAATATATTTTATATGGTTGTTATCTGTCTTAGTGGGAAAACGAATCATAGGATTAGTAAGAGAGACTTATTTGCTAAACTGATTCTTTGAAAGTATTTAATACTTCTTTTTTTGACAAAATCCAATTTACTACTTTTTAAAATGGGTCTAAGAAAGTTTTGCATTCCTCAAGGTTGCAAAGATTTTCTATACCACCTTCTAGAACTGTTACAGTTTTAACTTTTACATTTATGTCTTTGATCCATTTTGATTTACTTTTTGTGTCTAATGAAAAGTAAAAGTTGAGGTTTATTTTTCCTGTATGAATGTCCATTTGTTCTAGCACCATTTGTTGAAAAGTGTGTCCACCTGTGCAGGTAAGATAAAGACCATTTTCATCACTGCACACTACACAAAGCACACTGTTCCCCTTTGTAGTCATTCTGCACCAATCCACTCCCCAGCCAGGTTCAGGCAACCACTGATCTGCTATCACTGTAGTTTAATTTTGACTTTTCTAGTATTCCATGTAAATGGGACTATAGAATATGTACTCTTTGGTGTCTGACTACTTTCACTCTGCATAAAGTTTTTGAAATTCATCCATGTTGTGTTAATCAGTAGTTCATTTTTTATTATTGAGTACTATTTGATTACATGGATAAAGCACACTTTGTTTATCAATTCACTTGTTGGATATTTGGATTGTTTCCAGTTTGGGGCTATTATGAATAAATGTCCTGTGTACATTCATGTCCACAAGTCTTTGGATATGTTTTTATTTCTCTTGACTTAATACCTAGTAATGGAATGAGTGCTTTTTGTGGTAGGTTTTACATTTAACTTGATGAAAAACTGCAACCATTTTCTAAGCTGATTATAACATTTTTCCTTACTATCAATGCCTGAGATTTTTTGTTCCTAACATCCTTGCCGATACTTGATACTGCAATCTGTTAAGTTTTTCTAATGGGTGAATGGGAGCTCTGGTAGCATAGTGGCTAAGACACTTGCCTGCTAACCAGACGGCTGGTGGTTCAAACCCACCAGCCACTCCTCAGAAGGAAGGTTGGGCAATCCCACTTCTGTAGCGATACTGCCTCGGAAACCCAAGGGAGGGGTCACTACGAGTCGGGTTTGACTCGATGGCACATAACAACAACCCCAACAATGGGTGTATAGTATTATTTCATTATGGTGTTTCCCTGGTAAGTTATCATGTCATCTTTTGATTTACTTATTGGCCATTTGCATATTTTATTTTGTGAAGTACTGTTCAATTTTTTTTGCCCGTTTAAAAAAATGGGTTTTATTGAGTTGTAAAAGATCTTTATGTATTCTGAGTAGAAGTCTTTTGTCAAATACATCTTTTGTTTTAAGAGTGTCTTTCAAGGAGCGTAACTTCTTATTTTGATAAAATCCAATTGATCGCTTTTTAAAAGGGTGTAAGAAAGTTGTGTCTACCTCAGGGTTGCAGAGATTTTCTGTACCACCTTCTAGAACTGTTGTAGTTTTAACATGTATATTTATGTCTTTGATCCATTTTGATTTAGTATATGGTGCAAGGTAAAGGTTAAGGTTTATTTTTTTGTGTATGAATGCCCATTTGTTCTAGCGCCATTTGTTGAAAAGACTCTACTTTCCCTGTTGGTAACCTTGACACTTGCCAAAAAAGTTTACCATATGTGTGTCTGTTTTTGGACTCTCTTGTGTTCTGTTGATCTGTATATCTATAATCTGTATATCTGTCCTTTGCCAATACTACATTGTCTTGATAACTGTAGTTTTATATGGCAAGTTTTCAAATTAAGCAGTGTAAATAAATCTTTTTTTTCCTCCAAATTGTTTGGTTATTCTAGGGTTTTTGCATGTACACATAAATTTTAACAGTTAGTTCCATTTTGTCTTTTTTAAAAAAGTCCTGCTCTGATTTATGTTAGGATTTGGTAGATGGATTTGGGGATAATTGACATCTTAACAGTATTTAATCTAACCCAGCATCATAGTATGTGTATTTATTTATTTCTGCTTGCTGTCAAGTTGATTCCAGCTCATGATGGCACAAATGGTTAAGCACTCGACTGTTGGCTGATAGATTGCTGGTTCTGGTTCAAACCCACCCAGAGGTGCCTCTGAAGATCTGCTTCTAAAAGGTCACAGCCTTGAACACCTTATTGGAACACTTCTACACTGGACACATTGGGTTGCCAGGAGCCAGGATATTTATTTAGGTCTTTATAAAAGTACTTTTAACAATGCAGTTTTCATTGTCTGTGTTTCCACAAATTTTATTAAATTTATCCCTAAATATTTGATATTTTAGCTATTGTAAATAGAATCCCCTCTCCCCCACCTCAAGATTTTCATTACCAACATGTACAGAGAAGTTCCATAGAAAAAGATGGAGAAACTTCTTGTTTTCCATTCTCATCCCAGTAAGACCTCAGTGTGGAATTTTGAGGGGATGGAGATACTGATGACAAAAGGAGTAAGCAAGAGGAGAAATCAATACAAAGATCAGTGTTCTTTAAATCTTATCAAAGTATGATACAAGTATCACCAGTGATAGAGAAATGAATATGCATAGTGCCTAAGGCACTTGACTGCTAACCAGAAGGCTGGCGGTTCAAACCCACCAGCCACTCCTCGGAAGGAAGGTTGGGCATTCCTACTTCCATAGTGATACTGCCTCGGAAACCCAAGGAGGGGTCGCTATGAGTCGGGGCTGACTCGATGGCAAATAACAACAACAACATGCTAATTTCATAATTATGCATATTACTAGTAATACAGGTTTTTCTCTTTTATTAGTGATACAAAGTTCTCTAAAATAATTTGGGAAGTATAGAAGAAGTAAAGTGATTAAACGGTTACCTGTAAGGAACAGGGTAAAAGGTACAGAAGAAGCTTGACATGTTTGAATGGATCTTGTTTTGTAGGCTTGACTTTGGAAACATCTAAATGTTTTTTATATTGAAACCTGTGAGAGCTAGAACTCGATAGGACTGCCTTGCTTTTCTGGGTCTCACAAGTTTTCTGCCTCTGACGGTGCAGTCTTAACCACGTTTCTGTGCCTTACTTTAATGGAAAATGCTTGAGTTTCCTTTCTCTGACAGGTTTCTGCCTTATGCAGGTTCTGGCTTTCACAGGTTTTACTGTATAAATAAATAATTAAACTAAGATTCCAAAGCATGATAGCACCATTAAGTGGTTGTTTTCCTGCAGATAATAGTTATAAACCTGGATGAAGTGTGTGTGTGTATGAAAACCCCAACTATTTGAAGGCCTCAAAAAGGCACCAAACGCAGGCAGAAAGACTAATTGGGAAGGCCAAGAGTTTGTTTTTTTTTTTTTTTTCCCTAAAGGCCCTTTTTTTTTGCCCTCTTCCACTCTGGCAGGGGATACTTACAGCTTTACTGGCTCTGTGAGAGAACTGAATTCTGGGCTTGCAGAGCAGGTAGACATTTAGAAGGAGCTGCAAGAGGAGGGTGAATCCTGTCTGACATGCTAAATGCTTATGCAAAAGGGAGCTCCAGAGGGTTCAGAAAAAATTGCAAGGAAGAGCAAGAGAAGAATCCTAGAAATTCAGAACTGCACCAGGTGAGAATTTGAAGTTTCACCGTGTATTATTTTTTCTCTTGAATGATATAAATGGAACCATATAATATGCACTCTTACGTTTCTTGTACTCATAAAAATATTTATTCATCTGTGTTATTTATGTCAATACTTTAAAAAACCTGGTAAAATATATAATACATTTGCCATTTTAACCAGTTTAAAATGTTTACTGTAAAATACATGTAAGAAAACATTTGTCATTTTTACCATTAAGTGTTCAATTCAGTTACTAACTAACTACATTTACCATGTTGTGAACCATCACCTCTATCCATGTCCAAAGTGTTTTTTCATAACCCTAAACCAACAATCTTGGAAGAAGTACAGTGTTCCTTAGGAGTGAAGATGGTGAGACTTTGTCTCATGTACTTTGGACGTGTTATCAGGAGGGAACAGTCCCTGGAGAAGTACGTCATACTTTGGTAAACTAGAGCGTCAGTGAAAAAGAGGAAAACCCTCAAAGACGTGGATTCACAGTGGCTACAAAAATGGGCTCAAACATAGCAACAATTGTGAGGATAGTGTAGGACCGGGCACTGTTATGTTCTTTGTATGTAGGGGTCACTGAGTTGGAATTGACTCCATCACACCTAACAACAACAAACCGAAACTGGGCATCCCTTAAGCAATAACTTACTATTTTCCCCTGCTTCCAGCCCATAGTAACCATGAATAAATTTGTATCTCTATGCAGTTGCCTATTGTTATTTCATGTAAGTGGGATCATAGGATCTTCTTTTGTAACTAGTTTCTTTTACTCAGCAGTATTTTCAAGGTTCATCCATGTTACAATGTATCAGAACTTCATTTCTCTTTAGGACTAGAGAAAACCCGGAAGAGTATTTCCCTGAGGTAACCCTTTAACACTGAACAGAAACTACTCGAGGTCACCTTTCAGCTAAATATCAGATTGGGACATAAAATAATGTCACCCATGAGTACTGTGCTCTTTTAAAGATGAGAGAGAAGGGTCAACATTTACCCTAAAACAAAGATGAGAGGGTAAGGGTGGGGGGTGGGCAGGGAAACTAGATTGGAAAGGAAGGGAAATAATATTGACACATTGTGAAAAATGTAACCAATGTCACTGAAAAAGTTGTATAGAAATTGTTAAATGGGAACTTAATTTGCTGTGTAAACTTAACAAAAATAATAAAAGTATATAAAAAACAACGCTATACCTGAAGCCCACTTTAAAAGGCCACCTTCAAACTTTGAGCCTTCAAATCCAAAATGACCTGATCCTCCGAATTGCAAAAGCACGTTGTTCTTACTCTCCTTTTGCCTTTATGCTTTTTTAAAAAAAAAAAAAAAAAAAAACTTTATGATTTGTGTACTGTGCTGTTTCAGGGCCAAACACACTTTAATTGATGTTTCAATTCCCCAGTCTAGCATGGTGCCTGATACAGGGTATAAAATTAGTTGCCACTGAGTTGCTTCTAACTTATGGGACCCACACAAGATAAGGAATAGAACTCCATAGGGTTTCCTTGGTTGCTGCAATCTTTTACGGAAGCAGATAGCCAGACTTTTCTTTCGTGGCGCCTCTCTTTGGGTGGGTAAGAACATTAGTACTCGAGGGCAAACTGCACAGCCCAGGGGCCTGATACAAAGTATCACTCAGATATTCACTCCATCAGGAAACCACTGACATTTTGTTAGTTTGGGGCAGGTCTCACAGTTGCTGAGTCTCCACGGATCCTGGAGGGGGGTTCCACGCTTCCTAGGCAAACCAAACCTACTGCCATCAGCGTCCCAGTTGCTTCGGACTCGGCGACCCCAATTTGGTTTCCAAAGCTGTAAAACCTAGGGATGTAGACTGCCTCATCTTCCTCCCGCGGAGCAGCTAATGGGTTTGAACCGACTTTCTGTTTAGCAGTCCTGCTTTACCCTAGCCACCAGAGTCCATTTGTCTTTTTCTCTTCAACGACACGCAACGCACTGGTATCTATCCTTTTAGGAGACTGTTAATTCCTCGAGGGCACGTGTAGCTGCTTCATCTGCCACTTTGCGAGCACATCAAAAAGCACATGCTCAACCGATATTTCCCAAAAGGATGAAAAGCAACGTAAGACGTGATTGCGCGAATAATCCATGAACTCGTCCCTTCCCACCTGTGCACAGGCCTGGCAGCGAATCTGAACTGACGGGTCAGGCACGCGTTGGGGACAGACCAAGACTGGGCCGGGCGAGCGCTGCCTCGCGTAGGGGCACGACGGGGACGGGCCTACATGGAGATACGCCCACTAGGAGGCGGGGCCTGCGGCGCGCGGGAAGCTGCGCGCGCGGCGGCGGGAGGTGGCGGTACCGGTGACTGAACGAATTTGAGCAGGTATGGTTCTAGGGCGCGGGTCTGGCGTCCCAGCAGTCCTCCCGGCCATAATGGGCTAGGTTGAGGGCAAGAGGCGCTCGCAGTGGGGCGGGTGACCCGTGGGGGTAGGAGATGGAGCCCGGAGGCTAGCGTTCGAGCACCCGGTCCCCGCCCAGGCCCGACCCAGCGCGGCCTCCTTCTCGGCTTCCTCCAGGCAGCCAAGCCCCTCATCCTTGGAAAAAGGGGTCTCTTCCTTCCCAGGGGTCCTGGCCCCTTTCCCCGTGCAGCGACGACCTTGGCTGTCGGGGCGCGCCCCCCCAACTCCTACAAAAGAGAGTGGGTCGCGCAGCCCAGCCTGGGCCCCTGGTTTGCCTCTTGCCTGGGTGTTTCATTTTGCTTTTATGGCTGTAGCAGGAGAATCATAAACTTTTAGAACCCATGGCTCAGTGGAGCATTGTATGTGGAACCTGGTAAATGCCAGCGTTAACATCCTTTCCCAAAATAACGTGCATTTTTAAATGATTAGCCCAGTTCCCAGCCGTAATAAACCTTCAATAAATGTTTGCTGCTGCAAGATGGTTGTCCAATTCATTGCCAACATTTTCCAGCTTTACTTTGTCTTTGGAAAACGAACCTGGCTGAGGAATTTTTTTTGCCTCTTTGAGACCCAGGAGGATGAAAGTCATCACTTGTGAAATAGCGTGGCACAACAAGGAGCCCGTGTACAGCTTGGACTTCCAGCACGGCACGGCTGGGCGAATCCACAGACTGGCCTCCGCAGGGGTGGACACGATTGTGAGGGTAAATGGGGACAGAGAGAGAAAAACACAAGGAGGCCCCACTTGACACAGCCTTTTTCATTCTTTTATTTAAAACTGATGTTGACAGACTCAAATTACAAAGTCATTTAGTCCAGAATGATGATAAATTATCAGGGTCTGGAGTGAACCATGAAAGCAAAAGAGCCACAGTCTGAATAAAGTTCCCTAGATTGATGTAGGAGTCCCTGGGTGGCGCATACAGTTAACACGCCCACCTGCTAACTGAAAGATTGGAGGTTTGAGTTCACAGAGGTGTCTTGGAAGAAAGGCCTGGATATATTCTTCCAAAAAATAAGCTTTTGAAAACCCTATGGAGCACAGTTCTACTCTGACACATATGGGGTCACCATGAGTCAGAGTTGATTAGATGACAGCTGGTAACTGGTGGTGGTAGAGTGATAATGGGATGCCTTTTATTTTAGAATCCTGAAGTAGGGGAACAATTTGTATTAGAAATGGGTAGGATGGAGGGCAGCAGGCAATGTGATTACTGGTTTATATTCAGGTAAAAGTTCCTTTCAGTTTACATTTTTTAAAAAGCAAAACTAGAATTTCCTTTCTGCAAATAAGGCTGTTTCAGCATGTGCAATATACTAGGTGAGGTTCAGTATATGTTTCTCTTATAATGAATGCTTTGGTATGAACAGATATGGAAAGTAGAAAAAGGACCAGATGGAAAAGCCATTGTGGAATTTTTGTCCAATCTTGCTCGTCATACCAAAGCTGTCAACGTTGTGCGTTTTTCTCCAAATGGGGAAATTTTAGCATCAGGAGGAGATGGTGAGTATTGTTGTACTTCAGAAATTCTCTGGAAATCAAATTTCTCTCTGTTTCATGTCAGATAAGAAATTTGGGCTGGATATGCCTCTTTATTAGAGGCCACTGAGCCCTCTTAATCCATCATTTACATAGTTGAGTGAAATAATGTTCTGGGGAGTATGTCAGAGTAGAGGATAGCAACCTTAAGCTAAGCTGAGAAGATCTGTTTGAAATGGCTCCTTTTCCACTGGCTTCTCCTGGGCTGGTTTGGAGACAAGTTAGAAAGCTGCTTGCTGTTCTGTCAGAGTCCCAAGGCAACCATTCCAGCCTTGTTTAATTATAAGTTTAGTATCTGTAATGATCGTGTCCATACCATGTCTCTGTGTAATTAATTCATTAATTTGTTGGCTTCAGGACTATCTTCTAAATGGCCCTGTAAGTTGTATTTGTTTGGTGGTAGTGGATTGGTTGATATTTTCTGCATGTGCTTAAATGGGATAAAACTATAACAGAAAAAGTAAGTCTTTATTAACACCAAAACAGTATAGAAGCCAGTACAAAAGAAAACAAATTTCAGTTTCTGTTAGTAGGAGGGAAAGAGACCTGGTTGAGTTGAGAACCATGATGTCCAGAGTGTGTGTGTAAAGGAAAGGTGGGCAATAGGGAACGGCCTCTGGGTAAGGCCAGCAGGCTGTCCCTTGTAAGGTTGCACAGGGCAGTATTCATCTTGCAAAGTTCCTGGTCCTTGAACCACCATTTGTCAGTTTCTCATACTATGGTGGCTTGAAGGCCCAGAAGCTTGCTTTTAGTCAGCACATGGAAAACTTTTCCATCTACGAGGGCCAATCTCATTTTAACCAAGCTCACTTTACATCCGCATAACCTGCTCATTCACTCTCCTTCTGTGGGCATTTGTAAATGGGAAGGCAAATCATAATTAGAAAGTTCAGTGGTGAGCATGCAGTCAGAATGGGAGGAGTTAGATATTCAGACAGTTGATGGCAATAGCTAAAGTATCTGATGCAGTCGTAATGATATTAGTAGGTGACACTTACATGGCACTTACCATGTACCAGGCATCATATTGTAAATGCTTTATGCATTTTATGCATATTAGCTCATTTAATCTTCACAACAGCCCTGTGAGGCAGGTATACTATTATTATCTCCATTTTATAGGTGAGGAAACTGAGGCATTAAGACATTAAGTAACTTGATTAAGATTGCACAGCTAGGAATGATTTGCCAACCATTGCATCAGTAATTGTTTGTTTTTCATCCCTCCTTTCTTTGCCGTTTATGTATGATACCTTTAGATTCATTAATATAGTCAGGTATCTTGCAGTGGTGTTTTGCTGGCTTGGGGACCTTCTGTTTAAGGTGGCTTTGTATAACTCTGAACTAGTGTGTTTGATTTGTAGTTTGAGTTCCAAAGTGTGGAGTCCCTGGGTGGCACAAATGGTTAAGCGCTTGACTACTGGTCGAAAGGTTGGTGGTTTGAACTCCCACTAGAGACACCTGGAAGTCAGGACTGGAGATTTGCTTCTGAAGGTCATAGCATTGAAAACTCTATGGAGGAGTTCTGCTCTGCACACATGGGTTTGCATGAGTCAGAATCAGTCACTAACAATAGCAGTTCTGAAAGCAAACCTAATTTTCCTGTCCAGATTCTTAGAATTAAATCATGGTAGCCATAGTGTATATTGAAGAACAGAAATGTAACCTGAAAATCGAGAAATGAACGAGCTTTTGTTGAAGTTTGGCTTATTTCTAATCGAATCATTTCCTAGATGCTGTCATCCTGCTGTGGAAGGTGAATGACAACAAGGAGCCCGAACAGATTGCTTTTCAGGATGAGGATGAAGCTCAGCTGAATAAAGAGAACTGGACTGTTGTAAAAACCCTGAGGTGATGTGATGAGAGGCCGCGGGATGGACTGATTGCTAAGATCTGAATGCATTAAACTGAATATGCATTTTGACGTTTTTATCTGATTTAAAACTTTTACTTAAATAAAACATTTGCCAAAGAATAGAATAGTACTAAAGGATAAAGACATGATTAAAAATGATTTTCTTAGTTTCCGACATAAAATTTTTCTTAGTAAAACTGCATCAATTTTAAAGATGCAAATATCCATGAAAGTACCTTATTTAGTTCCAATAGAAATTTCTAAAATCCTGTTCTAATGCAATGACTCTTGGGTTTGGCTTTAAATTTTCGATAGCTTTTCCTTCCTTGAGAAATTGCTTTTTCTCCCTTTAAATGGATTCCAGGGGTCACTTGGAAGATGTATATGATATTTGCTGGGCAACCAATGGGAATTTAATGGCTTCTGCCTCTGTGGATAATACAGCTATCATATGGGATGTCAGTAAAGGTAACTAATTTTTTTTTTTTTTTTTAATATAAAACTGAGGGAAGGAATAGTCTAAGTGTTTAAAAATCTTAACCTGCTTTAACTTTGAAAGGAAGAAGAAAAACTTCTTTAGTAAACTAAAATTAATGGTTAGCTCAAGGGGGAAGGGATTGGTCCCATTTGCCATGGACCCAACTCATCTTTCAGGGCCCAAATCAGAATGTTTGAGGCTTTGCAGTGGTGTCATGAGCTGCTGGTGCTGAAGCAAGGTCAATCTGTACAACCAGTTGCAGATATTAGTAGGACAGGCCTGGTTACTGTCTTTATGGAGCTTACTATCTCAGGAAGATTATCACATCCTTGTAATTAATGGATATTGAGTGATACTTGGTGGGGTAGGTCAGATCAGGTTTCCATTTTAGGAGACAAGGGAAAGCCTCTCAGTGCAAAGGACATTTTTCTGTTTTTAAAGAATCTATTCTCTTTTTTTTGGCCGATGCACCTCTTATGCAGCTACCACCTGTCTGTCAGTGGAGGCTTCTGTGTTGCTATGGTGCCAAACAGGTTTTAGTAGAGCTTCTAGACTTAAGATGGACTAAGAGGAAAAGCCTGACAATCCACTTCTGAAAATCAGCCAGTGAAAACCTTACAGATCATAATGATCTGATCCTCAACCAATCATGGGACAACACAGGATCAGTAGCACTTCATTCGTTGTCCCTGAGGTTGCCATAAGTAGGAGGCTGACTTGACGTTAGCTAACCACATTATCTCATTGGGAAGAGACAAACATGATATAATAGTGCAAGAAATAGTAGTGAAATGTCAAAAGCTAGTGCATGATTAATGTCTTTTCCCTGTAATGTATTCTAAAACATGATTTTTCTCCCATACTTCTTCCTCTCCTGTTCTCTAACATGCAGACTGTTGATTCTCCTATAACCCAAATGCCCTGGAAAGGAGTCAAGAAGCAGAGTTGGCATTGTCCTTTGCCTCAGCACTGCATCAGTCCATCTTCCATCCATTCAGCAAAAATCTTTGTCCTTTCTTGTTCCGTGATATCCAGCCAAACCATCCTCCGTTCTCCTTCGTCTCTGTCTTTTTCTTCCTGATCAGTCTCCAAAGTTCTATCAGGATCTAGTGCCACTGTCTTCCTTTACTTCAGCTTTGGCCATCCTCCTGGATAATTTCAGTGTCCATGTAGATATGGCATCCAGCACCCTTCTTAAGACAATGGTAATGACCTTGAACATTGCCAACGTGCTTGGTTTTATTGCAGATGCTGGAAGCATACCACAAGCAAAATGACTACATTCCAGTGGTGGTGTCAGACAAATAAATAAACAAATATAATACCAGGAAGTGATAAGGTGCTGTGAAGAGGGTAGAGGGCGACAGGGTCATCAGAGAAGGCTGCGCTGAGCATGTGGCATTCAGAGACCTGAATGAAGTTGGGAAGCAAGCTGTGTGAATGATTTAAGGGACGAGTGTCCTGGCCCATGGAAGCAGCAAATATATAGGCTGTATGGCAAGAGTTGCTTGCCATGTGCTGGGAATAGGACAGGGCTGGAGTAAACAAGGGGAGGATGGGAGGCAGTGATGGACTAGAGCAAGGATGACCCAGTAGCCCATGGAAGTGCTTTTAGATTTGTCTTAGGCTGGGTTCTTTAGAGAAGCAAAACCAGTGGAATATATATATATGTACGTACGTACGTACGTATGTATGTATGTAACCAAAACCAAACTCCCTGCCATCGATTCCAACTCATAGTGACCTCTCCTTGGGTTTCTGAGGCGGTGGAACTAGATTGTCCAGTCTTCTGAGGAGTGGTTGGTGGGTTTGAACCACCAGCTTTCTGGTTAGCAGTCAAATGCCCGAGGCACTGTGCCACCAGAACTCCCATATGTATACACACACACACACACACACACACACATACATATATATGAAAAGATTTATCTCAAAGAGATGGATCACGAGGTGGTAAAGGCTGACAGGACCCAGGTCCATGGGTCAGACATTAGGCTGAAGGTTTTTCCTGACTCAGGTAGCTGCAGGGGCTGAAGAATCCAAGATAGACAGGTCAGATGACAAACTGCTAGCTCATGGGCTGTGGAAGCTGACAAACCTCAACATTAACAGACAATATGGCAGGCCTCTATCTCAAATCCAAAGAACTGGAGATCAGATGATGAAGAGCTAGATGCAAGATCCATATCAAGCAAAAGGCCAGAGAGCTTTTCTAGATGTTTATATATATATAGGAAGCCAGCCACACACTCTCTAGGAAACTCCCCTTCAACTGATTGGCTGCTCATAGCAGATCTCATCATGTTGTTGTTATGTGCCATTGAGTTGGATCCAACTCATAGCGACCCCTCCTTGGGTTTCCAAGGTGGTATCACTACAGAAGTCGATTGCCCAACCTTCCTTCTGAGGAGTGGCTGGTGGGTGTGAACCGCCAGCCTTCTGGTTAGCAGTCAAGTGCCTTAGGCACTGTGCTACCAGAGCTCCTTGAATGGAGATTAGCTAAAGCAAATGGAAGAAATGACAAGATAAAAGAGCTGAACAGAAGATTTCAAAGAGTAGCGTGAAAAGACAAAGTCAATTATAATGAAATGTGCAAAGATCTGGAGTTAGAAAACTAAATGGGAAGAACATGCTTGGCATTTCTCAAGTTGAAAGAATGGAAGGAAAAAATTCAAGCCTTGAGTTGCAATACTGAAAGATTCTATGGACAAAATACTGAATGATGTAGGAAGCATCAAAAGAAGATGGAAGGAATACACAGAATCACTGTACCAAAAAGAATTGGTTAATGTTCATCTGTTTCAGGAGGTGGCATATGATCAAGAACGAATAGTATTGAAGGAAGAAATCAAAGCTGCACTGAAGGAATTGGTGAAAAACAAGGCTCCAGGAATTGATAGAATATCCATTAAGATGTTTCAACAAATGGATGTTGCACTGGAGGCACCTACTCATCTGCCAAGAAGTTTCTAAGACAGCTGTGTGGCCAAGTGACTGGAAAAGATCCATATTTGTACCCATTCCAAAGAAAAGTGATCCCACAGTATGTGCAAGTTATCGAACAATATCATTAATATCACATGCAAGTAAAATTTTGCTGAAGATAATACATAAATGGTTGCAGCAGTATATTGATAGGGAACTTTCAGAAATGCAAGCTGGATTCAGAAGAGGATATGGAACAAGTGATATTGTTACTGATGTCAGATGGATCTTGGCTCAAAACAAAGAATACCAAAAGGATGCTTACTTGTGTTTTATTGACTATGCAAAAGCATTTAACTGTGTGGATTATAACAAATTATGGATAACAATTGAGAAGAATGGCAATTCCAGAACATTTAATTGTGCTTATGAGGAATCTGTACATAGACCAGAAGGCTGTTGTTCAAACAGAACAACGGGTTACTGCATGGTTTAAAATCAGGAAGGGTGTGTGTCAGGGTTGTATCCTTTCACCATACTTATTCAATCTGTATGGTGATCAAATAGCCAGAGAAGCGGAATATGTGAAGAAGAATGTGCGTGAGGATTTGAGGAAGACTCATTAACACCTTGTGATATGCAGATGACACAACCTTGCTTACTGAAAATAAAGATGACTTGAAATACTTACTGATGAAGATTAAAGACTACAGTCTGAAATATGGGTTAAAACTCAACATAAAAGGAAAATCCTCACAGTTGGACCAATAAGCAGCATTATGATAAATGGAGAAAAGATTGAAGTTACCAAAGATTTAATAGTACTTGATTCCACAATCAACACCAATGGAAGCAGCAGTCAGGAAATCATATGATGTATTTCACTGGGCAAATCTGCTGCAAAAATCTCTTTAAAGTGCTGAAGAGCAAAGATGTCTCTTTGAAGACTAAGGTGCTGGTGAAGAATACTGAAAGTACCATGGACTGCTAGAAGAATGAACAAATCTGTCCTGGAAGAAGTGCAGCTGGAATGCTCCTTGGAAGCAAGGAAGGCCAGATTTCGTCTCACCTACTTTGGCCATGTTGTCAGAAGGGACCATTCTCTGGAGAAGCATATCATGCTTTGTAAAGTGGAGGGTCAGTGAAAAAGGAGAACACCCTCAACAAGATGGATTGACACAGTGGCTGCAACAATGAGCTCAAGTATAGCAAGGATTGTGAGGATGGTGCACCACCGGGCAGTGATTTGTTCTGTTGTATACAGGGTCACTGAGTTGGAGCTGACTTGACGGCACCTAACAACAAGAGGGTCGTAGTGATTGGACGGATGGGGTAAGGAAGGTTGGGATATATATGAATAAAGAGCTGATAGAATTTGTTAGTTTTGGGTCTAAGCAACCAAGTGAATATCGATGCCATTTTCTGAGATTAGGGACACTAGGAAGAGAAGGAGTTTTGGTGGGGAGTATGGAAATCAAGACCACATCTTACACCTCTGTCATTTTAACTGCTGTGGCAGTGCTATCTTGAACCACATGTCCAGCTTTCTCACCAAAACCTTATCTTCCAGTTTTCAGCACCTTTACTCACTCTGCTTTACTTCTTTCGGAGCCCTGAGCGTGTTTCCTGGTCTGCCAACCACTCTGGCCTCTGTTACTTTCCCTATCCAGCTTGCTTGCCAAGGTTGGCCATACACCAACATAGTCAATCCTTCAGCCCCTTTTCTTCCATCTTACCCACTAAGACAAACCCTAACCTCAGATTGGTGTTATAGTACATCTTTTAATTGAGCCACTACAAATTCATCCTCACCAGTCCCAGCCACTCCCCCTTCACTTGTCAGGGTCAGATCCCCCTACCATCTCCCCACTTGCTATTTCAAACTTCCACAGAGCTAAGCCTTCTTTTCAATCCCTACCACTTTAATCTCAGCTGATTCTCTGAGAAGAGCTTCAAGGAGAGAGTAATGATGTAAAATAGAACAGAGAAGGCATGAAAGCAAGACTGATATTTTAAATAAGTAGGTCACTGACAGCTATAGGGTTAGCAGTTTTAGTGAGTGGCAGAGGGTGGAAATCAGATTGCAGAACATTGAGTGAATGGAAGGTGAGATACGGGAGAAAGTAAGTGAAGGAGTGTAGACCATTCTTCAGAGAAGAGGTTGTTTGTTTTTAAAGAAAGGCTCAGTCTTGATAACTCCCTTGTCTTTTTAACCAAGTAGTGTCTGCATGTGCTAGTTTTATCTTCTAAATATTTTCCTAGAAGTCCCTTTCCTATCCTTATTATTGTTGCTCTGGTTCAGGCCGTCATCTCTTTCCTGATCTATTATATCACCTTCTAACTAACCAGTAGCTGTCAAGTCCCTATGATTATAGGGACTTAATCGTGGTGACGTCGTGTGTCAGTGTAGACCTGTGCTCCATAGGGTTCTCAGTGGCTGATTTTTTAGAAGTAGATGGCCAGGTCTTCTGAGTTGCCTCTGGGTAGACTTAACCCTCCAGCCTTTAGGTTAGCAGCTGAGTGTGCACCTCCTAACTAGTTACCCTTTTTGTGGCCTCAGTTTCATCTTGTACAATGCAGATCATTTCTCAGCTTAGTGTTCCTTTAATATCCAGAGCCTTTTTCTTTTTTCACACAAGAGTCTATAATATATCTCCTTTCTTCCTTATCGCATCATTCTTGGTCTTACACCTTACTCCTTGTTAGGTGCCATCGAGTCAGAGTCATATTGCGTACAATGAACGAGGCACTGTCCGGTCCTGTGCCATCCTTACTCCTTAGCCGTATAGCATATCATTTATTCATAAACACTAAGTTGTCTTTTACCCATGTATTTGTGCAGAATACCTTTCTTCCCTTCCATTGATCCTTCCTCCATCCTGCTTAACCTGGCAAACTGAATTCAGATATTATCTCCTCTTTAACTCTACCTCCTACTTTATTGGACACCCCTCCCACTCTCTAATCCTTTAGTACTTTTGTATTATACTTGCGTGTTTATGGATTTCTCTCCCATTAAGCTGTGAGCTCCTTCAGGGGAGGGTTTGTGTGAAGTCATCTTTGTGTCCGCAGAGCCTGACACAGGATTTGGTACTGAATTGTTCTTGATTGTTGTTGATGATGGCATGGTACAAAAAACAAAACTCATTAGCGTTGAGTTGATTCTGACTCATAGGAACCCTATAAGACAGAGCAGAATCTTTTTTTTTTTTTTTTTTAATTTTATTGTGATTTGAGTGAAAGTTTACAGAGCAAATTCGTCTTCCATACATCAGTTCACATACACTTTGTCTAATGACATTGACT